TCTTCCTCCTGTTTTTTTTTTTTTTTTTACTGTTAACCTGTTGAAGGCTTGTTACCTGAAGGCAATTGAAACCCAGCCAAACTTTGCCGTGGCCTGGAGTAACCTGGGCTGCGTGTTCAATGCTCAGGGGGAGATCTGGCTGGCCATACATCATTTTGAGAAGGTTGGTTGCAGATGATAATCCCACTTTGGACAGTGATGATGAATGAAGTTGATGTTCACATGGTCTGTTCAATGGATTTACAGGCAGTGACACTGGACCCAAACTTTTTGGACGCTTATATCAACTTGGGCAATGTTCTGAAAGAGGCTCGTATCTTTGACAGGTAAATGGTTACATCCTCTGCCATTACGTTTTGCCACGCAGTCTTTTTCAGCCAATCTGATACATGTCGTTTTCCCCTTACAGAGCTGTTGCTGGTTATCTGCGTGCCCTCAGCCTGAGCCCTAACCATGCTGTTGTCCATGGAAACCTGGCGTGCGTGTACTACGAGCAGGGTTTGATTGACCTGGCCGTTGACACCTACCGTCGTGCCATTGAGCTGCAGCCACACTTTCCTGATGCATACTGCAATCTCGCTAATGCTCTGAAGGAGAAGGGCAATGTAAGAACCTACGTTTATGTTCTTGAATTATGCCTCTGTCATGCATCCCTGCTGTCTACACTCATGTCTTCATCTTATTGAATTTTTAACCAGATTTCTTAGTGCACAGTATTCTGTGCAGTGTCCACAGTCATTATAAATTTCACATAAATGAAATTTTGCAGACAAAAAAAAAATGTAAAAGATTTTCCCAACTTGAAACCGTTGGGAAGTCTTTCGCCCTTGCAAGAAATTCCCAACCTCATGAATTCCTATTAAAATGGCTGAATTTTGCCTGCTAAAAGTCTCTGGACAACCTTTAGAATCAAGAGCTTTATTGGCTGCTAACTTGCATGTTTACTTTTAGGTTTCTGAAGCTGAGGAGTGTTACAACACTGCGCTGCGTCTGTGCCCGACTCACGCTGACTCCCTTAACAATCTGGCCAACATCAAGCGTGAGCAGGGCAACATTGAGGATGCTGTGCAGCTCTACAGAAAAGCACTGGAGGTGAGGGGACCAGTGACGTCCGCTGAAAATCCATATTCGTTATTATACATACTTAAACAAACTTTCAAGTGAGAGATTTAGAACTATGTCTTAAGTTTTGGTTTTATTTGTTGGAAAGGTGTTCCCTGAATTTGCTGCTGCCCATTCAAACCTTGCCAGTGTCCTGCAACAGCAGGGGAAACTTCAGGAAGCTCTCATGCACTATAAGGAGGCAATCAGGTTTGTTCTTGTTTGTAGCTGCAGCCTGATGTAATTTTGTGTTGGTGTCTTTCAAAGTCTCACTGTCTGTTTGTTGTCAACCGCTGAGCAGAATCAGCCCCACATTTGCTGATGCTTACTCTAACATGGGCAACACTTTGAAAGAGATGCAGGATATTCAGGGGGCGCTGCAGTGCTACACTCGAGCCATTCAGATCAACCCCGCTTTTGCAGATGCTCACAGTAACTTGGCTTCCATACACAAGGTATGAATCTAGAGACCTGGAGAATTCACTTCCTTTCAGTTGTTTTCAGTGTTACTTTGAATTCAAATGGCATCTCTCTCCTCTCGAAGGATTCTGGGAACATTCCTGAAGCGATTGCATCTTACCGCACTGCCCTGAAGCTCAAGCCTGAATTCCCTGATGCTTACTGTAACCTGGCTCACTGTCTGCAGGTACGTAAACTTCTCGAATGTGCGTGTTTTCACTGTGCACTCTGGTGGGAATGTTTGTGTGACGTCATATTGTGCTCTGGTTCTCAGATTGTATGTGACTGGACCGACTACGATGAGCGCATGAAGAAGCTGGTGAGCATTGTGGCTGATCAACTGGAGAAGAACCGCCTGCCATCCGTGCATCCCCATCACAGCATGCTGTACCCCCTCTCTCATGGTTTTCGCAAAGCAATTGCAGAGAGGCATGGCAACTTGTGTCTGGACAAGGTGTGTATATTACATTAAACATGTTTATACAATCCCATTCTGCTACATTTTCTGATTTGTACCTTGGTTTTGGTGTAAAAGTAGCTCCTATACTTATTCAGTTCATAAGCATCAGCATAATACTTGTTCTGTAGATCAATGCTCTTCATAAACCTGCCTATGAGCGTCCAAAGGACTTGAAGGCCAGTGGAGGCCGTTTGCGTGTGGCTTACGTAAGCTCTGATTTTGGCAACCATCCCACTTCCCACCTGATGCAGTCCATCCCTGGCATGCACAACTCTGAGAAATTTGAGGTGATGAGACTGTAATGCAGTAGTTATGTATAGATCTTTCTGTTGATCACATCGTGGTGAGCTGGTGATTTCAAACAGTTATATTGTTTACAGGTGTTTTGCTATGCTCTCAGCCCCGATGACAGCACCAACTTCAGAGTTAAAGTCATGGCTGAGGCTCATCACTTCATTGACCTCTCACAGGTGAGTATACATGTACATATCACAAGCTTATTTTAGGTATATCTTCTTCCTCCTCCATTTGGAGGTCTGTCTTGATTTCATCGTGTCCTGTGTTCATAGATCACCTGCAATGGAAAAGCAGCAGACAGGATCCAGCAAGATGGAGTCCACATCTTGGTCAACATGAATGGCTATACTAAAGGAGCACGCAATGAGCTGTTCGCTTTGCGCCCTGCACCCATTCAGGTTGAAGTTGTTTATGTGTACTGGGCCTGACCTTTTAAATGGTAGCATATACTTCAGATAATATATAAAGATCTAGTTTAATAATTAGTTACTTTTTCCAATCTACCCTAGGCCATGTGGCTTGGATACCCAGGGACCAGTGGAGGTCCATTCATGGACTACATTATCACTGATAAGGAGACATCTCCTTTTGAGGTTGCAGAGCAGTACTCTGAGAAACTGGCCTACATGCCGAACACTTTCTTCATTGGAGATCATGCCAATATGTTCCCTCACCTCAAGGCTAGTTTGAGTCTCTAATCACATTTTTTAAATCTATAACAGAGAATGAGGCTCATGGTTTTCTTTTTAACCAATAGAAAAAAGCGGTGATAGACTTCAAGTCAAATGGCCATATTTTCGACAATCGCATTGTACTGAATGGCATCGATCTGAAAGCCTTCCTGGAAAGCCTGCCAGATATCAAAGTTGTGAAGGTTAGTGAAGAAATCACTGCTTTAGTGCATTCCATTGCCCTGTTAAACAGAAATGCTAATGTTTCTTTCTCTTTCAGATGGAATGTGATGGTCAAGAGTCAGCTGACAGTAACGGTGCCCTGTCCATGCCCATCATCCCTATGAACACAGCCGCTGAGGCCATCATTAACATGATCAACCAGGGCCAGATCCAGGTCACCATCAACGGCTTTACCGTCAGCAACGGCCTGGCCACCACTCAGGTACGGCCCATTGCAGGCCCTCAGTGTTGATCTGATTTCACTGCAATTTCACTAACTTCACTGCTTTGAAAGTTGGGTTCTCACTGGGATTTAGTCCTGCCCATCATTCTTAGCATGACGGATCGGTGGGTAGTTGACCACATTTACATGCACATCGTTTTTCTGGTTAAGCCTTCATTCTGAAAAAGAGGGTTACATGCACTTTGTTTTCCATTTCTTTTAATTTTGTTTGGACAAGCACATATATAAATGGATATGCCGTTGAATAAGTGGTTTACAAGACAAAATTCTGACATATGCAAGCTGTCTTAATTGTTTCTGGTAACTGGAAATATTAGGTTAAAGTGTTCACGTGAATCACGCTCACAAAATCAATTTCTGATCAATGATCAAATTCTAAATATTGAAGGAATGCACCGAAATGAAAATTCTTGGTCGAAGCCGAAAAAAATTAAACACTGGGCCGAATACCGAACACGGTTTTTCGCATTTTTTCCCCCATGTAGGCCTATTTTGCCATTTTTTTTCACCATTGCATATATTAAATAGCCACATTACTATAATATTACTGTTTTGTCCTGCTTTTCAAATAAAAAAAATCAATTACAAAACAACAATTAAAAAATATTTACTTAACACTGAACATTTTTTTTAACATTCTAGCAGACATTATACCAACAAAGCACAATTTAACTATTTTTTGGCCATTTTTGAGACTTGAATCAGGCATGTATTTTTTACTGTACAAAGAAAGGCAGCCTTGCTGAGCAGAAGAGAATTCTTTTAAAACATTAGAATATATTACAGATCCCAATTTGAACACCGTGTGAATGTTATAATAAATGTATAAATAGAGCTGTTGTAGGGTAATTATTATTATCTTTATTATTGTCTTTTTTATTTTATTTTACAGAACAACAGTAAAATTACAATACTAACATTTATGAATGTTGATGGAGTTGTTGCTTTTTCTCGGCTTTTATTTTGGCAGAAACCCACAGGCAGATCTCAGTGCTTCTTTTTGTTGACAACAGCATGCAGATTGATAAATGATTCTCATTACGAATTTGGGAAGATGTTTGTCGCATGTATCACATTGTCACATGCCTTTAAAAAAATTCACAAAACTGTTTCCGAGTAACACCGTTTCAGCGCAGATTTTCCTTGCGCTTTGGACTTTGAACACTGGTGCCGCAAGCTCGTGCAGCACTGTCAGAATACATGCAATTCGTGCGTGCATTAGAAAATATAACATTCTGAAGTTTATTTACTAATCGTTTGAGGCCATTTCGCGATTTCAATCTTCATACAGTAACCTAACCACCAGCATCAGCCACCTCATCTTCTCATCGGAGACATGTGATGCAGCACTAAACAGTCTCTCGCTGTCGGTGCTTCGGGCTTGTAATGATTTCTGCGTCTTTCTCTGATAGTTTTAAATACTTTCACACTGCCGACATATTTGCTGCATTAGTGTGTGCCTCTATTTGATCGCGTTAGTCATTGTTATATATATATATATATATATATATATATATATATA